ACTATGAGTTGTATTTGATGCTCCTCCATTGAGATGTATGTTTTTACTCAAAAAACTGGGATATATTCTATGAAATTTGGTGGCTGCACCATTAAAAAAACTAAAACAACAAAATGAAACAAACCCATACACCTGTTTTATTTATTTATAACTTCTTGTGGGAAGCAAAACTTCATCAATATGCCTTCTTTTTTTTCTTCGTTTTGATTTTTCTTTACCAGGAAGCTGGTACTATACAGATTACTAAGTGAAAAAGGAAATACCCTATTGATCTTGGTACTCTCTTCACCTGTGTTTCTGATAACTGTGGTTTTGTGTGATTGTTGACTTTCAATGAAGCTTGTAAGAATTTAATTTTACATTATTATGCCTCATGACCAATGAGTTCCAAAGTTTTTTGAAAGAGGCTGGAGGAAAGAATGGAAACTGGAAAATGATGAAGTCAGAGTAATTCTTCTATGCCTGATTTTTCTTAGGAAGCACCATTAAAACAAAGGCTTGAAAATTTTGCTTGAGCAAAGAATGTTCCTAAGCCTAGAAGAAATCTTGACAGTGCTGGTGGCACGAGGAATTACTCCTTGTGTTTTTGACCTGGCTTCTCTAGCACTCAGAATGCAAACCAGAGGTTTATGTAGTGTCATAATAATGTTCCATGTTTAATTATTTCATCCTTTACTAGTAAAACTTAACATCTGATCTGCATTTTTGAGAACTGCCAGGCATTTTAAACTGCTGTTTTTACAGAATTGTTTATCGTGAGTTCATACTGTTGAATGTTATGTCATGTAAACCATAGACCCTGGTTTTTTTTCCTAAATGCATAAATTTGTTTATCTATGTTTAACTTAATCCACTAATTCTTTTATGTTCCCTCTACAGCTATAGCTGTAGCGGTTAAGGTGGATGATGCAAAATATAATCTTAAAACAGTTTTTAGTTTTTCCTGTAACGTAAAACAAGCAAAAATAACATTTGTTTTCAAATTTTTTAAAATGTATGGGCTTTTCCTTATAAACTTCCCACACAGCTCTATAAAACTCCTGAATGTTGTTTTAATGCCTGTGCGTAATGGACTTGTGTCAGTATAAAACAGATACAAAAGCATTAGTATAAAGCAAACATATGGTAATTCTGCTTTCTCCAGACTTCTCAGGTGGGCTTTGACCTTGAAACCCTTGGTGTTTTGATGAAAACAGTAGAGAAATCTAATTTACTTGAAGCAGCCGTTTCTATTTTGGCAGGAGTGTTTTTTTGAAAATATGGAGTCTGGGGCCTGACCTTGGCAATATGTGTTGGAACATGAAAATGTTGCTGCAAGTGTTAGTAGTTTAAAAACATCAACTCCTTCGCATTGTTTCTAGAACATGTGGTTGGTACACTCGACCCCTTTATGTGTTTCCATAGAAATGTCTACATAGAGTGAATGTAAAATTGTAACTTTGTTAGTCTTTGCTTACTCTGGGTTTAAATCCTTGAATTAACTACCTGTAGTTTTCTGAATACGGAAACAGCATGTTTCTGAATACAGCATTCCCAGAATGATGCCTGCTTTCAGAAGCTCTTTGGGCCTGTAACAAAGTTTTGAAGCAAGGGAGGATTTATTTACAGGAAAATAATACAGAGACTTGGAAATAGTTTTAGAATTAGCTCACTATTTTCCAGACTACTCCAAATTCACTTTTAGAGAATCTCTACCCAGAAACTGGTAATCATGCTAAATCTGACACCACAGCACAGTCCACTGTCCAGATTTAGTTCTCCTGGGAAGATAAACTAAATGTTATTCTGAACATCATTAGTTTAGATATGAATAGTAGAAAGAAAGCTGTGAGAAGTCAGTGCACGGCTGTCTTTTGCACATGGAGCACTTTTGTTAGATGTGGATGATTATTTTAGACAGGTCATTTAGTCATAAGTTTTTAAACTAGAAATGCTGTATTTAAAAAGAATTAAGAACCCACTCAGTACCTTTGAACTGTACTGAAATTGCATACAGGTGAATGATGCTATAAAAATTTGACTCCTTCAAATTCTAGTCCCTACCTACAAACCTTGTCCTTAATATTCTGAATGTTACTGTTCCTATCTAGAGCTGATTGCTACTTAGATTTCCAGAAATGGGGGAAAAAGGCTGTTCAGCACCAAATAAGTTCCTGGTGCTTCCCCTACTCTTCTGTAACACCAGCTCTGTATGTAGGGCAAGACTGTAACAGAATCTTTAAACAAAAGAAAAAGACACATAGCCCTTTCTGCGTAGGTGGCCTTTCTCAGAGCAAAGACGGCTTTTGTGGTGGTGGAACAGAGCTTCTTTTGTTCTGCAGTGCTTCCTGTCTGACAGATGTAGGCTGGTAATGTCAGTTCCATGTAGAAATAATGTTTTGTTTTTGTCTCAGCACAATAACCATTAGGTTCTGAAGTAAAATTACAGAAATAACTCTTGTGCCCCAGAATGGGGTTGTAAAACTGTGCATTCAACATAATTAGGAATCTAATTGGGTGCTTAAAGTTAAGTGATGTATATGCGTATGTAAGTAATTAAATTATATTGAAAAGTATTTTATTTGTCATAGTCTGTGCTCTGCTCCCTAGAATATAGGCAGAGTTTATTCTGCAACTATTTGTTTGCTTTCCAGGTAATTTCCTTCTTTTTGTTTATGTTTGGTGGTGTTTTGTTGTGTGGGTTGGTTTGTTTGTTTTTGTGGATTTTTTTTTGTTTTTGTTTTTGTTTTTTTTTTTTTGGGGTGAGGTTAAGAAAGCTTAAAAAACTACCTGTGAAAAACCTAAACTGATTTGGAAAATACAAAAAGTGTATGTCAAAGAGAAACTTGAAACATAAGTTCTGTCTAGTGAAATTTGTTGTAATTAAACACCGTGAGGTCAGAAACCACTGTAAGCTCTCTTTGTCTGCTTATGAGAGCTAATGAGCAACACAGCTCACTGGATTGAAGTCACCAGCTAACTCTTTTTGGAACAGCTTTGTGTAATAGATTTTCATGCCCTAGTATCTCCTCAGCAGAAAATGACATAATGTGGAGAACTTTAAAAATGTCTCTTGTTGGTGAACTTTAAAAATGTCTCTTGTTGGTGAAACCAAGTATTAGGAAGAAACCAGGGAATCACAGCTGATACAAAATTGAGTTTCTGATTAATCTGATGATCAGAAAGAGGATGAACTTGTTAATAATCAGGGCACAGGCAATAAACAGCCTCTACAGTATTTACTGCTTCCAGCTTGTTAACAAAACCATTTTCAGAAATTTCTGATTAAATTACTTACACATGAGAAAATTTGGGGAAAAAGTGGTGGTACAGCACTGCAGAACAACTCACTAGACCTGGAAGTGAGGTTGGTTTCAGTTCATTCATGGTGAAGGTTCCAAAAGTAGCCCACTGAATAGTAAAATTGTTAAGTACTTAATGCTAGGCCTAAAGCCTGGCCTTATATAACAAAATGTGCCAGCCAAATTTATGCAGAATTAGCAAGAGGAAATTGTCAGCACCAGAAGTGTGAAGAAAGACAGACATGGGCCACTGGAACAGTATACCAGAAGAGTGTATCAGAGTAATATCCGATTTGTTATTTGACTGATTTCTTGTCTGTGGGCCTCCTAGTCTAACTATTTAAAAATACTTATTTCATAATTTATTTTTTATTTAATAATTTAAAATATTTTAAAAGTTAATAAAATATTTAAAATATTTTCCCTGTGGAGAAGGGAACAGTCTCTGTGCCTCAATAGCTGCAACTAGAAATAGGAGGTTTCAATTAACACAACCTCTCAGCTGATGAAGAGGAGCTTACCTGTTGTTATTACCTTACTGTTTGACTAAGGAACAGTTGTACTGGTTTGGATTACTGTAACGTTACTTAGTACATCTTGTGTGGATGAGCACATTCAGCGAGAGGCTCATCATGAATTTAATCTGAGCCCGTCTTCAGACTTCACTTCTGTGAATCATATCCTCTGCAGTGATTGATTGCTGACTGTCTCTCATGTGTAAGCAACACATAAACTGTTACCTACAAGGAGGATGCAGGTGAACTTGTGCTCCAAGTCCCTATCACTGCGCTGAAAATACTGGCTTTGTATTTGTTAAGCTCAGAATGCTTTGTTTGCAGGGTTGGTATGATTTTAATTGGTGAATACAGGCAATAGTTTCGCTGTTACGGAAGTCCTTGGTTTTTCTGAGCTATTGAATAACATATGCAGGTAGCCAGAGTGATGTCTGTGCATGCACGTTCATATATGTGTGGTTTTCTGGAGTAACAATTTCAATTGCTCTATAGCTTCAAACTTTGTAATTTACTTCTGTTTATTCTTGATAAGTCAGCATATCAGTTTCATATTAAGCGATATTTAAGTTAATTTCTTTAGACACAGTTCTTCAGTTAGTCATTCCGATAGCTTCATGCAGTACACCGAAGAATTTTAGATAATTTTTTTTTCAGACTTAGATTAGAAGTTCCTGATAAGGACTTCTCTGTTTTCATATATATGGCTGCTGCATATTTCAACATAAATGAAATTACAAAAAACTAAAATACAGCATGTCTGGAGTTTCCTGTGTGGATACTTCTGAAATGTTATATTTTAGTCACTCTTATAAATGATAGACATTGATCTATTATAATAGTATATCAAATGGTTGAAACTAACTTGTTAGGAAAGCAGTAACAGAATTCTCTGATAAGATTATGGATACTAGTAAGCTGCTTATCTTGAATATGACAAAAGGATTTTTTGAATGTTTTAACTCTAACCAGCCCAGAGGGAAGGTCTGTACGCTGTTCTCAAATGTTTCAATGAAAGTCTTGCTTCTTTGTTTTTAGAAATGGAAGGTATTTCAAACAGATATTTGCATCAGGTTTAGTACAGTGTTGTAAGAGGAAGTTCTCTGTGTGCCTCCTGGGATGGTGTGTATTTGTGCAATGTATTTACATCCTCTTTCACAAATTGCTGATTGATTTTGTTGTTCTCTCTCTTCTTTTTGCCATGTAGCCGTCCTCAGAAGGTGTGTCTGTGTCCGTTCCTGCCCGTACATCCTCTAAAGGTCTCCACCTGCTTGTATATAATCCAGCATCCAGCAGAGGTGAGTGAGGCTGTGGTAACTGTTGAGAGTTCAGCTAGAATCCTAATGCAACAAATAGTAGGCAAGAGGAAACAGCTGTGCTGTTAACATCATTGTCATGCTTCAACCCCAACCATCAGCTAACTTTACTTCCCCCTGTGCCAGATAGGATGGGGAGGAGAATCAGGGAACAAAGAGTAAAAATCTGTAGGTTTAGATAAGAAGAGTTTAGTAATTGAAACAAAGTGAAATATAAAAGTACTAATAATACTAATGATAATAAGAACAATAATAATTGCAATAAAAAGCAGAGAGAGTGAGAGGTAAAACCCAAGAAAGACATGTGATGCACAATACAATGCTCACCACACGCTCATCAATGCCCATCCCATCCCTGAACAATAAAATCCTAGTCATCCCCAGATTATGTACTGGCCATGGCATTCTATGGTATGGAATATCCCTTTGGCCAGTTCAAGTCATCTGACCTGGACATGGTCTCTCAAGATTTCTTGTGCACCTCCTCAGTGACAGAGCATGAGATACTAAGAAGTCCTTGGCTTAGGGTAAACACTACTTAGCACCCTGGTGTTTTGGTTGTTGCTATCAACATTATTCTCATCCTGAATCCAAAACAGCACTGTACAAGCTACTGGAAAAACATGAATTCTATCCCAGCCAAAACCATGACTGTCATATAATGATTTTTTCTTTTAAATTTGATGATTGAATGCCAGTTCAGCTCAGTTACTGTATTTTTTGTTCAGTTCTTCTGAATTATTTTGTCTTCTGAAATCACATCTTATTTCTACAATTCTGTACATTCAAGACATCTCATCTTATCTGAATAGTCCTACTAGAATCTGAAATCTACTTGCCTTGGTACAAATTGTAAAAATTAACAACATTAACATTAAATAAAATATTTTAAAATAACATTAAATAACATAAAAGCACATGGTGTGATTCTTGAGATGTCCTGCACAGGGCCAGGAGTTGGATTCAATGATCCCAATGGGTCCCTTCCAACTCAGCATATTCTATGATTCTGTGAACACAGTGTCTCACAGAGGTATTTAGAGTTGATCTAGGGATGAATGTGTTTGATTATAGCAGTGGCCTTCTATTGATGTAAGTGTTCTGTTAAAAATATGAATTAAGAAATTCATTGTAGTGATGACCTTAGCTATTTTAGCCAATGGAAAACTATTTAGCTTCAGAACAGTATGTTTTGGTTTACCAATAGGAGAATATATATTAATGTTTTTCTTGTCTGCTAACAGTGCATCATAAGGGTTTTGGAAATTGAACTACAGCTACACATATCTGGGTAGATGGTTGGTCTACAAATGAGACTGTGAAGTTGAGAAGCCGGTACTCTCGTGGTCCAGCTGTTTGCTTGACATTATACAGTAGCTCGGTTGATATGCAAAGAGTCTTTGCCCGAAGGAACTTAAGCAGAATACAAAAAAGCAAGTTTAAAAAAAGTATTTTCTCACAGGGAAAAAAACAGAGGCCATGACATATTTGGGCCCTAAATGGGAAAACTGTAATTTTTAATTTACATAATTATGATAGGAATACTCTTCTGTGTTACTTCTTATTTCAGAAGTGCTTGTATATATGCTGAAGTAACTTGAAGGGAAAAAAGGATTTAAAAATGTGTCAGAGACTTTGAACTGGCATTTGAATTGTATTGGATTTCCTATTCATAGTGGAAGGTATTGGAAAAAATTGGCAGATTTTTTTGTGTTTTACGCACTATACTTGTGACAGTCTAAGTGACTGTCTACAATTTTTATTAATCAACAATCAAAACAGTTGTCTGTTACAGTGGGATGCAAGTTTTCTGTTTGTATATATTACATAATAATAATTCACACAGTATTGAAAGACCACTGTCTGACTATTATCAGGGCACTTGGCTTGTCAGAGATAAATTCAAACAAATGATGGGGAGCTAAGAACATCTTACAGTGGTCTTTGAAAGTGTTTTCTTAGATGAACGCAGGTGATGCTTTTGATTCCATAACAGCAGAGAAATACCTGGCAAGAGCTAAGTTCCGTTTGCTCTTAGTTGCACATACTCAAAACAGAATCGAACTTGAATGCAGATAAGCCTTCTGGACTGCATCTGATCCTTCAGTCTGCCATTTCATTACAGGTACACTCAGTTTCAGAAATATCTCATTGAACTAACCAGATAGCGAATGTCTTTCCTTACTGCACTTCAGTCCCAATTGTCATCCTTCATGTGCTTCATTATTTATTGTCTTTGGAAGTCTGCAGTGCAGTGAAGTAAGCCTTCAACTATGGTTAAATGATGCTATTGAGACTTGTATTCAGCCAAGATAGTAATATAGAAATTCAGGAGCAACATTCCTGTTGCCTGATTAATGTGACTAAGTCTCCACATTCCTACTTTCAAGAGACCATGCTGCCAGAAAGACCTGTGCATGTGTCACGTATTGTGAAAGAGAGAGCAACTGTAGAACAGTGGATCACAAGTGAGGAATTATTTGCATAACAGGTACATGAATTAGTTAGATTTTTATTTGTAAGGAATCCAGAATTCAGCATTCCATATCAAGGGGTAAATACTTGTTTTCAGATGGTGCTGTTATTGTACCATTATTCATTGTGAGAGTAATCAGGACTAGCACAAGAGTGAAAGACTTATATGCCTAGTAATTTATTTTTCTTCTTTTCATATAGATAAATATATATGTAAATATATATATATATATGTAGAAGTAAAAAAAGATACTTTTGTCGTTTTTCCTGTTTCATACCTACTCTTACGATCCGTAGGACTGGTCAGTGACACAGTAGGAGTATAAACCCCTGTACACTTTTGTCTTACTTTTGCCTTTGATCATTCTTGATGTGACTACCAGTTCATTATAGGCCATTATGTGCTTTTGAAAACATGAATGATAGGTGTGAGCTGGGACAGAACCCCGAAAGCATAGCATAGGGTATCTATTTAAGTTGTGTTCATTCCCTACCTTCTTTTTTTCTGTAAATGGAAGAATTCCATGTTAAGCATCTGAGAAGAAAATTTAGATCAATACATAAAATCATTAAATACACACAGTCTAACACCAGTAATTAGCTTTGACTTGGTCATTATAGCACTTCTGCTGTATAGTATTCCTTATTGAACAGCAAGAATCAAAATGTAATGTTCTTGCTGCTTGTCCTAACAATTAAAAAAAAAAAAAGGGGGAAATATATATCTCCTAGCTTTAATAAATGTTTTTATTAGTTTGAACTGTCCTGTTCATCATAGGTGGATAATGCTGTGGTAACCAAAGTTACCACAAATTCCCAGAAAAGAAAAAGAACAATGAAATTTAAGTTGTTCTGAGTCCATCTGGAATGGAATTAGCTTTCCACATGGCAGTCACCACAGTACCGTGCCACCAGTGTTTGGACTGGTGCTGAGCAGTGCTCACACAGCGTCAGGGCTGTGCCTCCAAAATGCCCACAAACGCCAGTAGCCTGGGGGTGGAGAAGAGACTGGGAGGGGACATGGCCAGAACAGCTGACCCAAGAGGGATATTCCATACCATATGACACAGTAAAAGATGGGGGTGGGCATTTGTCTTCTGTAGGAACTGTTACACTTGCCAAGGCTCTACTTCTGAGGAAGTGGCTGGACTCTGCCTGCTGATGGGAAATAAAAATAAAATGTATTTTTATTTTCCTTTGCGTCTACCCATGTCCTTTTTGACCCAAGAGTTCATTTCCATCCTATTTTATGCCCCCTGTCCTGCTGAGGAGGGGGAGTAATAGAGTGGCTGGTGGGCACCTGGAGGCCAACCAAGGTCAGCCCATCACATAAGTCCTCCAGTCCTGTTTCTGTTTATATAGTTTAATAGTCAAATGATGAATAAGCAGAGTTGCAAATCACTGTTAAGACACTGAGAAGAACAAAGAGAGTAACTGCTCACTTTCAAACTAGTAAATGGAAAATCGTTGGTAGGATAACAAGTTATCTATTGTCTAGTTAAATACAAATTCTTTAATGAAGAACATTATAAACAAATGAAACGTTTTTTAGTGTTAGTTTGACTTAGCTGTTTTAAGCTTCTGTTCTCAATTCCTTTCAGCTTTACATTTTATGTTTTATCTTTCTATATGCATATATTGTTTTTAGATTGGAAAACTCAATTTTCTATCTTGGTAAGAGAATATATTTATTTGAATTAAGGGTAATTCTGAAGTAATGATGTGACATTGGACAGAATAGTTGAATAACTTTCTCCTGACTGATGACAGCTCTTTTGGTTTTGTTTATCAGAGGCAAATAATTGATTTTCTTCCAGGTCCTTTATTACCACTTGTTACATTCTTATGGAGGCTTCTGACTAGTGAATTGGAATGTTATTTAATTGTGATGAAATAAAAGCAAGTAATACTATGACACTGTTGATGGCTGATTCTGCTGTTCTGAGGTAGAAGAAGTTGATGTCAGTTTAAAGAATACTCCCTCCCCTTGCTCGCACTTCACTCCCAAGGTACTTTGATCTTCGTCTGTCCCTAGGAGACATTACGCTGCTGCTGAATGAAAAGTGGTGGTGGATGTAGCAGAACAACTTACTCCTTCAACTCCATGATATTTTATTTATAGAGACTCAGTAGGTAAGGATCAGAAAAAGCAAAATGAATAGAGGTTTTAGGCAACAGTAATAAAAGTTTTCACAAAACTATTTTAACAGCTGGTAGCAAGACAGTGTGAGAGGGCAGACGGCTGCACACTGATACTTGTGAAAGTAACATCTTCCCAACATGAGTTAATCAGAACCTCATGTGTTCACAAATACTGTGTTTTTGAGATAAGGCTCTTAAATCAAAAGGCAGACCAACAGCCCCCTGTATTTTCATTAATGAAATGTTTGGATTCTTGTTGTTTGAATCATGAGACGTTCAGATTGTAAGACATGCAGGTTGTATTGTAAGAACTCTTTATTTTACTGATTTTAGGGCTTTCATAATCCTTCCCTGATATCTAGTGCCTTTTCTCCTGCTAGATTCAGCTAATAACCTTCCTCTGTTCATCTTATGATAAATAAACTTTCATCCACTATTTTTGTGTTGGCTTTCTGTCGCTTCCCCTTCCTTGATGGGAAAACAAAAATTGACATTCCACAAATGAAGCTCAGTTTGCGTTAATGCTTGTCTAGACAAAAAGTTTGTTCCCAGCTGTGTTAAATAAAGCACAGAAATAAATTGCTCTGTTTGATGAGTAGATAGTTTGTTTCAGCTGTTATTACTTCACTCTTCCTCCACTTTCTGAAATCCTGCTTCCACGCAGCTCTCTAATGCTCTGAGAGTTGAAGAGCCCCTGCTCCCCACCCAGCCGTGGTGGTCACCTTCCTCATCTGTGCCGCGAAGATGTAGGCAGATACCTGGTCAACACAGCCTGAATGGCATGAGTTGGAGGATTCATGGCAGTTTAGGTGTCCTGGTTACTGTGAAATGAAGTGACAGCAGGGTGGAGATGTTTGCATTTCAGTGTCTGGTCTGATACACCCAGTGCTTTTATTTTTAGCATCTATTTGTGGAAATCAAACTCTCTCCTCATTTTCTGATATAGAGACATTAGCTCCCCCGACTCTTACATCATTAATGCTAATCCTGTTTTTTTGTCTATTCTTTATTTGTCTGAGAAGTTGTTACTGTTTTTGATACTGTTAACCTAGTTAATAAGTTCAATACTGTCAATCAAAACAATACAATTTGAAGCATCAAGATTGGGTATTTTTCTTGTAGATTGTTTTTTCCTGTTATGTGGGAAGGTTTTTTTCTGTATCTGTAGTCAAAAGAATTTGGTAGAAAATGAAAACGTTAAGCATTCATAGAAGCCTTTCTTGATTTGGTTCAAAAGTAACTTCTCTTTCTTTACAGGAAAGTCGAGTGTTAAGGACGGTACCTTTGCTTGCTGCTTGTCTCCCTCCAGACAAATGTAAAATTTTGGTTGGTCGACGTTTTAGTGAAGACAGGTGAGCAGGATTGTGCGTTTTCTGTTTCTCTGTCAACTATAGAGATATCTTTTTCAATGTCTTTATTAACAACCAACAGTGTTCTTAATTTTTATTCCAAGTGTGCATGTTCACTTTTGATACAAGCTTCTGATTTCCCAACGTAGTCAGAAACACTTGATATTCTTCCTCTAGGTTGTTGTATTTATGATCTGTTTTATGCTCTTGAAGGTTCAGGTGGCTACTCTCAAAGTCTCAGCTGTTGGCAGTTCTGTTCTTACCTGGTACTAGGTTTGTCTTGCTATTCTGTTGGGTTCTTTTTTTGATTTGCTTTGTCGGACCAACCATTTGGTGTCACTGAAGTAAAACTAATAGTTTTTACTCAAGTGTGGGAATTTGACAACCCCATGGTGGAAAACTCTTAGTGAATGTCTTCTTTTTTCCAAATTCTTTCCTCTTTCTCTAAAATTAATTATAAGAAAGTATAGCTTTTAGAGGTTTTTTAAATTATTTTTTTTCTAATATTCTGAGACCTTGGAAAATATTGCTCTCCCATGTAACATCTTTAATCTTCTTTAGATGAAGCTAAGTCTTAGAAACCAATTCTTAGTACAAATGCCTGTGAAATTTTACTCCATACATTTTCAGTAAAGCAAATAGTAACCATGAAGGAAATTAAAGGAAATTGATTCTAAAACTGAGTTTAATCCTTGGAGAAAACTTTCTGTAGAGTTCAGTGAACAAAAATGTCGTGGAAGGTAATTCAGAATGGTGCTTCCACATGTTTGTGCTGGCTGTATCCTAATTAGACAATATTAGAAATATATTGCTTTTCTTTTAGTCTTCTCTGATAATAATTCTAATAATTATCTAAAAAGTTCCAGGCTACAGGGAAATTATACTGTCTTCCTGTTAAAACCTGAAAATGAAGGAACTTTTCAAACTGATATGCACAGGGTGGAATGGTGTCAGTACAGTCTGCTTCTAGAAAATTTCCTTTTTTTTTTTTTTTTTTAAAGAGACAATTACAGTATTAAAGCTTCTTCAAGTTTGAATCCAGGGATATTTCTCTAACCTAAAGGATCCTCTTTAGGCCAAAACAGCTTGTGGAACATCTCAACCTCAAAATAGTTTAAATAGATTCATAATTGCCTAGTTCCTATTAATTTTTTCTCCATAAAAACATACTGGAGATAGTGAAAAAAGCGAAAGTTTTCCTTAGGTTAATATGAATTTTGGTGATTTGTCTTACCTAGATGAAGGGCTAAAACTAATTAGGTTTTAAGTCATGGCTGCACTTTAAGCATCTGCACTATTCTTACTTTGCCTTGCTCATGTGAGACTGGAAAAATTGGGAGTGCTCAGTCACTGAGTTAGTGCTCGTGTTCTTGGGAAGAGGAAAGATGAGAAGAGGAGAAAAGTTATTTTCCACCTCTGGAATGTGTTATTTCTAATTTTTTTTCTTAACTATAAATACATTCTGTCAATATTTTAATCAATATTCCTTCTTTGGAACAACAAAGCAACAGGCATCTGCAGATGGGTGAAAACATCTCAGTGCTTTAGTGTAAATGGGAAGAAGGGCTGTACTGGTCCCTACTCTTCTCTTAGGGTGAAAATGTCTGCTAATGGGATTTTTAAAGGCTCATAAATTACAGTGGTCCAGCTTATGTTTTATGACATATTAAACTAAACAGGACTTTGTTTTCTGGATTTCTTAAAAGCCATGCTGTATGTAAACAATTTAGTAGATGCTATACAAGCAGCTTAATCAACTTTCAGGGGGCAAGACTTCTTAGTTACTTTGAAGAAATAAATTATTAAAGAATGCTTGTTGATACATTTTAGAAGTATCATTATTTTGAAGCACATTAAGGCCATACTTTTGCCTTTTTTTTTTTTGTTCTGACATTGTGTGATAGTGTTTATGTCATTTGCTGCTTTCACCATAACTACGTAGTTTGGAAGGGAATAAACCAGTATAACTCAGAGTCTCTGGTTGTACTGATCTTGCATGTGAGCAGTGCCTGCAGGTGGTAATGTCGTGCACACATTGTTTTTCTGCAAACATGTAGAAGCCCTACCATGCAGCAGACCTGCGAAAGTGATGACCTTGATGGTTGCTCATATTTTTGTAAATTAACAGAATAGAATGGTAGTGCACATACTTACATTATCATGGGATCCAGCAGCTCCTGGCAACAGCTCTGTAAACTTAGAATGCTTCAAGGCAACCTTTGTGAGCAGAAGTAATTGACATTATGGATTTGAGTGGAAACTAAGCCATACACAGCAGCTGATTGGTTTTGATCTCCATCACAGCAGTTCAGCAGTGGTGTACCAACCGGCAGACTGACTGTTGTGAATGTGTAGCTGTCAGAAGAGGTTGCTTTCAGGGGGAAATTTACGTACCATCTCAACTGGGCGGCTCTTTAGTCTTCAGTGCCCCTCTTTTGAAGGGGAAGGCAAGTTTGTTATTCAAGTGTGTCTCAGTTGTTTTTCCTATACTTTGTAATCAGCATCCAAAATGTATGAGGAGCGCAGAAGGATTTTATGAGGATATCCACACAGAATCATGTCCTCTAGAATAAATGTCATGTTTTGAATGAAAGCTTAACATTTAGACCTCTGATGTTTATAACAGTAAGACTGAAAATCAGAATTTTATTTTTTTTAAACTTATGTTTGGATGAAAGAGTAAACATAAAGCATTTTTTTCCCTTTTTTTTTTTTTAGCATTTCTTCTACTCAGTTCCTTCTTGGGTACACCTTTTCTTGTGGTTGAAAGCTGATAAACAAATTATGTAGAATAAATTTACCTTATTCCTAATTGAGCTATATTGCAGAAAATCTAAAGAACCAACTTTTGGAAGTCTTTCCAGAAGTTAATATCTTCAACATATAATTAATTTTTTAGGAGCTAATATGTCATTTTTCCCAGTCTGATCCATTCTTTCTGACTGAAAATATTCTACTGAAAATATACAGTGTTTGCATGGTGACTTGGCTCATCAGATGGCTTTTCTGAAATAGAAGACCAGTTCTGTTGGTTAACTGGTTTTTTTTTCCCCAAGTACTCAAAAGACTGACCTTTTTTTGGTATTGATTACATTAGTATCATATATTTGGATTAATCTTTGATGTGCTAACATGATTAAGCTAAAACTGAACAGTTTGGCATAAGTACTTTGTGGTTTCACTCCAACCAACACCAAGCCCCATGGAGCCTCTCACCCACTGCCTCACCAGCAGGACTGGGAGAGAATCAGAAGGGTGAAAGCCGTAAAACTCATGAGTCGAGATAATGGTTTATGGGGAAAGGAAAGGCCTTGCACACATACAAAGAAAAAACCAAAGAACTAATTCACTGCTTCCTATGGGCTGGCAGGTGTTCTTCTCCTCCAGGAGAGCAGGCCCCCATCATGTGTAACAGTTACTTGGGAAGACAAATGCCATCACTCCAGACCTCTGCTCCTTCCTTCTTCCCACCAGCTCTATATACTGAGCATGATGTCATATGGTCTAGAATATCCCTTGGATCAGTTTGGGTCACCTGTCCCAGTTGTATCTCCTTCCAACCTCCCACCTTCCTTGCCGGCGTGGCAGTACGAAAAGCATATAAAGGCCCCTGCTCTGTGTAAGGTCTGCTCAGCAACAGCAAAAGCATATCTATGTTATCAACCCTGTGTTCAACACAAATCCAAAACACAGCCCCATACCACCCACTGGGAGGAAAGTTAATGCTACCCCTGACAAAACCAGGACATACTTACAGAATGATGGTATTGTAAAAGTAGCCTTTTTGTGAGTTAATATTTGCTGTTTTCTTTCCTTCCCTTAAAACGAAATGTAATTGTTAGTATACATGAGCAGAGACAGTTAATAAAAAGTTTTGGGGAGGATAGAGGGGTGGCTGGGGCATTTATTGTCCTGATTTGTCTGGGTAATTATTCTTGCCCGGATACAGAGTTAAGGTGTAATTTATATAGCTGAATAGACGCTTGCAGCATGGTTTTCTTAAACTGCAATTACAGAAGCATTTACATTTGAAGGGTGTCTATTAAGATTCTCTCTATAAAGAGATGAAATTTCAAAAAAGTGGAATGAAGTGGGGCAGGGAAAAAACTGTGCTAATACCTTTTCCTAGCGTTGTTCTTAGGATTGTATCTAACAGTTGCAGTATATTTGAGCAGTACATTTGCTATTCATTATGGAAATGTTAGGGCAAAAACCCACTTTATTCTCATATTCTTGAATAAAATATAAGGTATTGGATTCATGTTCTTTTTAGCCTACTAATAAAATCTTGTAGGCAACTGATTTTGAATAATAATGCTGTTGCACTCAACAGGAGTTTTGGGCATACACTGAACAGAGATAGCAACTATTTCTGAAGTCTAACATGTCAAAAATTCAAATTATTTTAATTTGATATCATAGTTTTATAAACAGCCTTGGCACTATTGCTTTTGAGTTTCATTTTATACTTTGTGACTGTTTGGGAAGAGTGGGTTTGCCTTATTTTATTTTATTTATTTTCTTTTTCTGAAAAGGTAACCTCATTCTCAGACCTTCCCTCTTTTCAAATATTCACACTTTGTTAATTCTGGATGCTATGATAAAATGATGTATTCTAATGAGTGATCACTTAAAGGAAAACAGATGCAAATATCTCTGCATCCACTGCCCAATTATTTAGGACAGTGAGGAGGCAGTTACAAATTTATCTACGTTGCTCTCTGGAATCAAGCTACACCAAATGTCAGATTCTGCATCTGGGATGGGACAGCCCTGGTTGTGTGTATAGACTGGGGAATGAGAGGCCGGAGAGCACTGCTGTGGAAAGGGACCTGGGGTTCCTGGTCAATGGCAAGTTGAATCTGAGTCAGCAGTACCCTGGAAGCCAGGAGGGCCAACCCTGTCCTGGGGGGCATCAGGCAAAGCGTTGCCAGCTGGTCGAGGGAGGGGATTGTCCTGCTCTGCTCTGCACTGGGGCAGCCTCACCTTGACTATTGTGTGCA